TACTTTTTAATTGATTAATTATTAACTTCTATCCATGTACCGTTTTTGTTTAATATAAACGGTACTCTTAACTGTCTGTTTGTTTATCCGATCATAAAATTCCTATGTTATATATATTTAAACAAAACATTTATACATCAATTTGACTGCCAAATCAAATGCATATCCTACATAGATTACATAATTGATTTTTGTTTTGTTTTGCATTAATCTACTCATCTTCACACAATTATATATCTCATTGTAATTCTTACTTCCACACAAACCGACAAAATCACTACAATCAACCCTACGCAAACCAAAGGATGAGATAACAAAGGAAAACAAATCAAACATCATCTACAAAATAAATTGTATCAACTGCGAAAAAAACACTACATCGGACAGAGCGGGCGCCCTCTTCATCTTCGTCTGCATGAACAGAAATTATCAGTCAAACGCCATGATATCTCCTCACTTATATCAATACACGTGGACAACTGCGGACACTCATTCTATTGGAAAAATGGGGAAATCTTAGACAGAGGAAACTCCAAAAACACCAGAGAATTTTTAGAAACCTGGGACTCAGGTCAATCAGCAATCAACAAGCATATTGAAATTAATTCAATTTACCAACCAATCAGGGAAACCATGCACAAATATAGGAACAAAAATCAAACCAATGGGAGACACAACCAAAACAAAAAAGTAAACAATGACAAATTTAGGGGCAATAAGAACCAATCAACATCGAGGTGCACAGAATAAGCTTTGAAACACATATGGAGAAATTCGAACACTTCACTTCTATCTGAAGTTTGTGCTGATGATGATGTCGTTCAGAAGAAGAACGATGAACGCTCAACGACCAAACCATCCAGCTCAGAGAACAAAACTCCACCAAAATCTTACTTCCAATAAACGTTATACTCTTTACATGTATTCTGTTGAATCAGTATATGAAATATGTAAAACATATTTTTTATACATTTCGGATTTGACTTCTAATATCATATGAAATAAATTTAATTACATCATAGGATAGGTCAAAGAATATATCAGAAATGACCATTGGATTGATTATCACATTCAAGTCAAGAATGTTTATATGAATTAACTAAGCGAAATAGTTGGATAAATTTTATTTTAGCAATTAATTCTATTTTGTTATTCTGTCAATTTAATTAAAGCAAAACATTTTCTTATTCGAGAGAAAATAAAAGAACAAGAAAACCAAGCCCGTAAATGATCAATAATGGGACTGGAAAAAGAGAAAAAACTTAATAAATTTTAATTTGAGAAGAGTTTTGTAGAGATTATTGTAATTTAGTAGTTGAATTCATGAGGTAATTGAAGTTAGATTACCATGGAAAATCTAGAAGAACTGGATGACTAATTTGTCCTAGTGTGGGATTCCTCTTGCCAAATCAAAACGTGGCATCAGTCCACAAAGTCACTAACTTCTAGTCTGAGCCATGTTGGTAGATGTAGATTACTTTTTTGGGGTCCGTCTGACTATGGTAACCAATGGTTGTAGACTGTGGGTGAAATGGCTCAGAGTCGATCACAGTGGCGTCGGTGTATACACTTTCTGTCTTCCCTTAAATTATGAGATTAAAATCGATTCATATCTTTCTTTCTACGAACTAATTCTTTCTTCCTATACTATATCTTTATATGCAAACTTTCCTTTATATATTACTACCATTGACTTAATTACTTCTATGAATCCGGTATTCATCTTTTTGTGTTAATGAGGTAATGGCAACTTGGACCGATGCATATATATGTTCCTGATCCTACGTTGTAGCTGACTGACTGACTGGGACTCCTCAGTAGTGCGGATCTACGATTGCGCCTCGTGAGATTTGAACTTAGAGCTTGTCCGTCTCGTGCGTGAGTGCACTGATAAGGAGTTGCATACTAAGACGAAATGGCCGTCCATTGCTTCCAGATTTTTCTTGGTAGTCTAACTTCAACTGACTCATGAATTCAACTGCTGAATTTTAGTTTAATAATCTAAAAATTTTATTAGTCGACTGTCCAGTTCAGTTGTTAACAATGAAGAAATACTCCATTCTTTATCAGTTTTTTTTGGCGAAACTATAATTTATGAACTAACCAATCAGGTATACGGTAACTGGTCTTAAATTTTGGTGCGAAATCCACTCATCCATTTGGATAAATATAGTTTTGGCATTATAGCTGATGTTAGTTCGTGATGAAAACCCTAAATCTAATTTCTAACTCTAAGCATTAAATGTAAATCATAATTCGAATTCCACACACTGGGTTATAACTCACATTTGGTACCGGTTATTAGATGGACACCCTCAAGGTCAGTCTAACGTCGCTCAAATGGTCGTCCATAAATTATAGTCTCACTATTTGTTTTTTCTAACATTTTAGTTCAATAAAAATAACTCATACTTATTATACATAGTTTGGATGTTCATTTCATTGTTTTGGTTGTATTACTGAAAAAAATTTAGATTATTTTATTAGGGAATAAATGTTTATTTTACAATGATAGTATAAAGACGGATACAGTTTGATTAGATCCTGTCTATGGAATGATAAAGGAAATAGTGTAAGGCCATACATCAGCAGTTTATCAACTTATAAATATTTATATTTAAAATATGTAAAACATCAACTATTTATATTGTACTCATAATGTATATTCATCGGTATAACGAATTATTGACTGTAATTTGAGATTTCAGGAAGCTAACGCTCCTTTTTTTCTGCTCAGATAACTCAGTGGTAACGTCTCTGACTATGAAGCTGGGTGACATGGAATCGAATCCGTCAGGAAGCATCAGTTCCTTCAAGACTGCAGGTTCATCTTGCTTACGAGTGCTATGTAGCACGAAACCTAGGTCAAACTACTCCTTTTTCGGAAAAAAACAATTTACAGCTAACTAAATTCACTACAGAATGAAGATGATCATAATAACAATAATTTGTATACAGTTAGTTAATAGTTACTCAGTCTAAATGGGCACTGACTTATTCAACGTGTGTGATGTGTGCTTGAGTTATTTTGCTTTAAATATTTGGCACTGAATTTTAATCAGTCTTGGTCGGTAAACATACATCTTGTGTGGATTTTCATGATAAAGTCATTTTATTACAAGCTTTTTTGAATAGATAAATTTTGACTAGTATAGTGTATTTAGCAGCTTAGTAGGCTGAGTTTAAAGACACCGTGCTCCTGTCATCATTAAAACATCAGAACTGAGATACTGGCATATCAATCAGACATATGAAAACATGAAACATTAGCTTTAAATTTCAATGTGAGCCGAAAATTCATCTATTTTATAATAAAATGATAACATCAAAGCAAAGTGTATAGGATGAACATATGTCATCACAAAATGATGAATATTCAGTAATGAATACAAAAAAACGAGATAATTCAAACTCTTACTACCACTACTACTACTACTACTACTACTACTAATAATAATAATAATAATAATAATAATAATAATAATAATAATAAACTATCAGAAGGAGTTTAGTGTAGATCATAGTAATTTTAAGAGTTGAGATCATGTGTCAATTGAAGTTAGACCATCATGAAAAACCTGGAAGTACTGGACAGTCGTTTCGTCCTATTGTGGAACTCTTCAGCGGGGCGCATCCGCTAATGATCTGAACATTCACAATGTTATCAAGAGAACTGAGCAGTTATTTCATTATAATTTGTAAATTTTTATCCATCTTTACACACTAATATGAGTATTCTATAGTCTCTACTTTTCAATAATTATCTTACTATGCTTAATAAATGATCAACATAAACTGTAAAATAAAACACTATCAAATATTTCATTTACTTTACTTACTCCTGTTACTCCTAATGGACCATAGGCCACCGACCAGCATTCTCCAACACACTCTGTCCTGGGCCCTGTTTTCTAGTACCATCCAATTCTTGTTCTTCGGTCTTCCTCTCCTACTTTGGCCTTCAGGATTCCGTGTGAGAGTTTGCCTTATGACTCAGTTGGGTTCTTTCTTCCATGTGTATCCTATCCACTTCCAGCACTTCTTCCTGATTTCTTCCTCCGCTGGGATCTGGTTTGTTCTCGCCCACAGTAGGTTGTTGCTAATAGTGTCCGGCCAACGGACCCGAAGTATGTTGCGTAGACAACTGTTAATAAACATCTGTATTTTCTGGATGATGGATTTCGTAGTTCTCCAGGTTTTCACCCCATACAGTAGAACTGTCTTGACATTTGTATTGAAAATTCTGACTTTGGTGTTGGTTGACATACGTTTATTTGAGTTCCAGATGTTCTTCAGTTGGAAATATACTGCTCTTGCTTTACCGACCTGCGCCTTCACAGATTAATATCAATTTATTGTCGGTTTCATTACAATTTTATTGGCACAGTTACCTGAGGACCAAAAATAATAAAACAAAACAAAAATAAATATTTTGTTTACAGATTTCATAACAAGTTTAAAAGTCATTTGATTGTATTATTGTGATTGATTAATTATTAGTTTATTATCATGATTGGAATAGGCATTTAAGACATTGGTACATGTTAGCCTTAAGTTAACCAGCTAATCAATATATGTCAAAACTGTCAAGTTTATATATATATATATATATATATATATATATATATATATATCATTATAGTATAAAAGTAATTGAAATGCCCACAACCATACTTCAACGGTAAGCATAATGATATTAGTTAAGCCTTTCATTATTTCAATGGTTAAGACCATGAGTCAGTTGAAGTCAGACTACCATGGAAAACCTGGAAGCACTGGATGGCCGTTTCGTCCTATTGTGGGACTCCTCAGCAGTGCGCATCCACTTTCATTATTGTTCATTACTTTTAATGCTATTCTGTCATAATTCTCTCTCTCTCTCTCTCTCTCTCTCTCTCTCTATATATATATATATATATATATATATATATATATATATATATATATATGTAAATATTATCACTAAGTAATTATCATTGTCTTTTCTTTCTACTCCCTAGCCAACAACAACAGCAACAACAGCAGCAACAACAACAAAATCAAGGAAATAATGAATTGTTACATACATCTTCTAGTACATTATGCTCATTTATCTCAGCTACACCCAATTGGACAGTAAGTAAAATATTGAATAAATAATGTAAATGAGAAAAACAAACATTATTTATTTTAAAGAATAATATTTGATATAATCATTTTCAGACTTTCCTTATCTATCCATCTATTTATCTACCTATATACATATACCATTGCTATTTTATACTGTGATTCGGAATACACGCTAAATGTATATGAATGAATGTTTAAGTGAATAACTTTAATTAAAATTGAATTGTGTCATAACTGGTCATTTTTGAAATGACAGTTAATTACAGTTTATGTTGTGATTTACATTCAACAATAAACAATCAATATCCTTTAAGTCATGATCTATAATGATTTTATAATATTTATTAGAAATACTCATAACGTAGCATAAGAAATGAAGTTACTATGTCTACGAAATATTAATTAATCACATAAGTTAGACATTAACACCGTTGGATTCCGGCTTAGTGGTCTAGAGGTTAAGGGTTCGTGCACAAGGCCGATAGGTTTTGGGTTCGAATTTCACGGGAAGGATCGTGGATTCACACTGCTATGGAGTCCCATACTAGGACGAAATGATCGTCCAATACTTCCAGTTTCTTCATGGTGGTCTAGCTTCAATTGACTCATGAATTTGACTATTACACAAAGTATTTGGTTTACCAATTATTTTCAAAATGTTTTAAAAAGTCATATCTTTATAAAGTACCTTTAGGTTGATGTATTCCTGAAATCTCTTACACATCTAGATACATAAAAATGAAATGACTTTTATCATTGTTTAAACATTGTCCTAAATAATCAGACAATAATTATTTACCCTCTATCTCTTCCTATTTTGATATCAGTACTTTATTTTTAAAAGTAAAAAAAAGTCAATCATAATATCATTATAGAGTACTATGGAGTAATGAAAACATAGTACTATTCTATAGTTATCATTTCATGGAATATTCATTAGGAAATATGATGTCAAGTCATATCATGTTTAGAATAATAAAATTATCCTTTCTAATAAGTAGATATATCTTCAATGTCATCTATAAAACTACTTAAATAGTTTATTTCTATATAGATTAGTAGATTTTTACTAAGGTTTTATTGAATGAATATATTGTTTTGCTTTTTCAATATAGTAATTTAACGTTATGTCAAATATTACAATATCAATAGATTGGATGGTTATTTAAGTTAACCGAATGCTATTTTTTCATGATAATCTAACAACAATGACCTCATATTCTTCTTTGTCCTCGATATATTCTTTTCGAATTCTTAAAAACAAATGAAGTTATCATAGATATTTTAGAGAGTTTTGAAACTACTATCAAACTAGTTTGACATATGTTTTAATGTTGTTAAGTAAGTACTAGGTACAAATTAAACATGACCTTTGTTTACTTGAATGATCAACAATAAATGTAACAGTGTTTAGAAGATGAATTCATGTATGAACCTATGTATTCACTGTATGTCAAAAACTAGGTTTCCTAATAAAGAGTAAAGTTTTCACTCACTTTACATAGTTCTTTTATGTTAGATGGTGGTTGGAGGTAGTCGACAGGAAACCATGGACCCCAGTTTCATGCTACTTGGTACTACCTCCAACCACCATCTAATCTCAATATATAGTGCCCGCAATGTCGAGTCATCTAGACTGGTGACCACATTGCAACATGATCGATAGCAATCGATCTGCACTAAATAAGGACTTGACACACATGACATTGATCACCACCCAGTGATCAATCAATTGTGAGTTCTTTTATGTACAAGCAGTTATTGTTTTCATCAAAACAGACATATATTGCAATATCAGAAACACAGATTGCAAAATCATATATTTTTCATCTTCTTTCTGGAATAGTAATATCATTTTGAATGTGCTGAATTACTTTCGAGTAAACAATCATTTTTAAACCATAAATAACACTTAAATATTTAAAAAGAGGCTAAGGTTATTGATCTGGATTATTATGTTTACAATAGGTTAATTAATTAAGATTTTTTGATTATCTAAAGTCAGTTAAATAACTTGGTTATAAAAGTGAATCAAATAATTCCAGTTCTAGTGAGAAGTCGTGACCAGTGGAGCTAATCCGTGTCGGGTAGAGACAGGTATCTACCTCAGTACAATGGAAGGTGGTCGCGCAATTTCGTGGATTGGTTGATGTTAGACACTAACACCATTGGATGCCGGCTAAGTGGTTTAATGATTAAGTGCTCAGGCGCGAAGCCAGTAGGTCCTGGGTTCAAATCACGCGGGTTTCGGGGCCGTGGATGCGCACTGCTGAGGAGTCCCATACTAGGACGAAATGGCCGTCCAGTGCTTCCAGGTTTCCAACGGTGGTCTAACATCAATTAATTCATGATCTCAACCAAAAACTTAACAATCTCCACGACCCCCATACTGACAATTCCATCATTGTTATTAAATCAAGTCACAGTGTATGTGAAAATTCATTTGGTGTTGTTTTACTTGAATTTTCACATTGATGTTTAGAACTGTAATTGATCAGTCTATTATTGGCATATGTGCATACTGTGAGTATTGCCTCGATATAGCCTTAAGTCAGAAGCATTATAAGCAAAGATGGATGGCGGTGGCTAGCAGTGGAATCCATGACGTGCGTTTCGTCTTGTTTGGGACTCGTCAGCTGCATAAACCTGCATCCCAGAGTTGATGTACACTGTGGAACTCGAACCCACTACCATTCTCTCCAAACGCCATTGCGTTATCCACTATGCATCTTTGCTTAGAAAGCTTGTGACTTAAGGCAAAATCGAGGCAGTACGCACAGGATGCACATATGCCAATAAGAGATTGATCATTTGCAGTTCTAAATAACAATGTGAAGATATAAGTAAAAGAATACCAAGTAAATTTAAACTTCACCTCATTGCACAAGCAAGTGGCTATCAAGACGCAGTAGCTAAGTGGATAACGGTACTGGGTCCGGGTCCTGGAGTGAATATCAACTCTGAGGTGCAGGTATGTTCAACTGACGTGTCCTAAATATGACGAAACTATCCACTACCCATGTGTGCTTAAAAATAGTGTATGTATGCATGAAATTGTTCAATACGATTCTAATAAATTCTATAACAAAATAATATTCAATTTAATGGTATTTAAACAGTCAACGTGACTTCTGTCATTCACAATTGTTCATTTTAACAAATCAAGTTATACTATTGGGATTAAGTTTTCCTTATTGGAATAGAATGTGGATGTTCCTATGCGAAATCTGAACCAATTAAGTTTAACCATATGAAGTGGGAGGCAGTTAACTTTCAAAAGCCGAAACGCGGTACCATGAAGTGACTGAATTTTGACGTTGAAGTCATTGGATGCCCGATCAGAAGTCTTAATATCAAGCCTTTTTCAAGAGAGCTGAAGTTACTATATCCAATAACTAATGTTGTGGATGCGCACTACTGAGGGAATGTATACTGGAACAAAACAAATATTCAATGCTTTTCGGTTTATAATGGTTGTCTAACTCAGGTCAGTTCATAATTTCGATAACATTCAGCTAACTTCCTAGAACTTCATAATGATGACAGAAAACATCCGTAAGGTTTCGAAATCAAGATAATAAAAAAAAGGAATGCGTAGGTGATATTCAGTTGTAAAACTCTTTTGACTGTTCTTTTGGAGTCTCAATATCTTAACATCTCATTGTATGTTAGGTACTTAATAATGTATTAGATGGACTGAAGATCGTATATTTGCTTTGCTTATCTATCCCTTTCCTTGAAGCAATTAACAGACTATCAAGCTGAATAAAGTATATTTCAAGATTAACCACACATTTTGCAAAGAAATGTTTGTCACTAACAAGTTTCATGTCGAAGAATCATCAATATTAAATTATACATTAAAGTTGTTTTTTGGTGAATTTTGAAGTTGATTATGCATACAGTTTCACAAATCTTAGAACTTTTACTTCAATGAAATTGTTACTTTTCAGAATGCTGCATTAATTGGTGAACATTTATGGAATGATACAACTTCTACGGAAACGTGCTATGTTGATGAATCAGAATGTACTGTAAGTTCAATGATAGTCTCATCGTTTTTTTAAATTTCATATTTATAAGTCATTGTATACATTTAAATGTTGATGAATTAACTGTGAAACGATGTCCAATTTACTCGTCAAACTACTGATAGATGATTGATAAAGATCTTGAACTGATTGATGTTACACCATCATTGGAAAGCTGGAAGTACTGGACGACCTTTTCGTCCTATTGTGAGACCGCTCAGCAGTGCGCATTCCCGATCCCGCTCGTGGGATTCGAATCCAGAGCCTTCCGTCTAGCGCGCAAATGCTTAAGCTACTGGACCACTGAACCGGCCAGCAACCAATGGTGTTAATGTCTAACCTTAACCAATCCACAAAATTGCGCGATCATCTTCCGTTGTACTGAGGTAGATAACTGTCTCTACCCATCACGGATCAGCTCCACTGGTCACGGCTTCTTACTAGGACTCCGAGAATTCCCTCACGAGGTTATTCAGTATTGAGCACATGGTAATTATCAGTATAGGGTTATATAGATGAAATGTAGCAGTTTGAGAATTATAACTGTTTCTCTGATTCAACTGGAATAATACATGCTACGGTATGAGTAATGTTCTCCGAATAATATTACAGTCCTATCTTCAACCAAAATTCTTTACGTTATGTGATTGTATTATTTTAAAAGATTTAGCAGCGTTGTTCAATTCACTTTACGGTATGATTTTAGCTAGACAATCATTGAATATTGTGGAGTGATGAATAGATACTTTGTATTACTATGAAATTCTTAAGTAATCTAAGGGTAATACACATTAAATGAGGCATAAAGATTTTGTGTTTAACCTTCAGATAGAGGGGGGAGGGTTCATAAGTATGCACATTTGACTCTTCATCTGTAGTCAATCTATGGTGTAAATTATATTTTTATACATTTTGTTTTAAGTTAATAATAAGATAACTTATTATATGAAAGTCTTACTGAAAAAGCCGCATTGAAATGCTGATTTAGTATTATTAAATGTTAGTTTAATTACCGTAGTTACGAAATATAATTAATGAAACAAGTTTTAAATTTCTAAAAAAAATGCTAAAAGCTACTTAATTCAAAGTAATTAGAAACATACGTTTTTGTTGTTGCGGAGTAACACAGAGTGACTATATAATTGACTACAGAAAGAAAAATATTTATTAAACAAACTTGGAATTTATATTTTACTGTGGTCTTTTAATGTCCTCGTATTTATTTCAGCTCAAGTATTTTAATATGTTAAAAACTCTAGTTAGACGTTAAATCCCGCCTCAATGGTCTAGACGTTGAGTGGTGACACATAAAACTGAAGATCCTAGGTTCGACTCTCGCGTGTGAGGTCATAGATGTGCACTGCTGAGGAGTTCCATATTAGGACGAAAAGGCTGTATAATGTTTCCATGTTTCGAATGGTAATCTGACTTAGATAAGTTCATGATATCAATGAGGAGTTAGGGTTTCAGATTTTGAGAGAGTGTTAATTTGCTCGCTGTATACAATTCACAGGGATCGGATTAAGCACATAATGCCTTTTTTCGTACTACATTGGAGTGTCGGCTATTACGTTCAGCCTACATAACTTATTCTAGCTTCTGGCCAGGCCAAATTACCCATTCTTCTTGAGTTACATTCTTACCTTGTCAGTTACTCACTTAACAACTTTGACTGTTTTTTATGAGCTTATGTGTGCATACGCTTCTTATCCTATTCATCACATATGTGTACCATTTTTGTATGACTATAAATATTGATTAACACTTGGTTAATTGGAATTGGCTCACACGCTTCTACTACGTGCCGTCTCGTTTCGCTCTCTTCTCTTCCTTTTCTACGTCTCTCTGATTATCTGTTCCGATCAACGATTGTACAATACATATATTAGAAATCCATCCTCATATTTGACTTATTTTAATTCCGTTATTCACTAACGCAAGTTAAGTCGATAATTATATATGAAGATAGGTGACATATGTATTTAAATAACATTCATACGATTTAATTGAAGTCAGATATCAGGCCACAAAAATACTATAATTTTTTTTCTAAGATTTTCACTTCGAACGTTTTGAACGGTGTAACATGGTATTTCTACCGCTTGTTATACATGATATCTGAATTTCACGCAAAGCTGAGTTCTCGATTCTAAGTGGTTAATCGCTATCACTCAGTCAGTCAGTCAGTAACAACGTGGAACTTCGTTCGTACGTACGTACATCAGTTCGAAATGTTATACCACATTAACACAGAGATTCACTTGTTGACTCGAATCCCATAGTGGTAAAGGTAATAAAAGTATAAACAGTAATCGGAAACTTTTGATGGAGTTTTGTTCTCTGAGCTGGATGGTTTGGTAATCGGAAACATTAGGGTTTGAAAATGTTATTCAAAGAGTATAATCCAGTGAAATAAATTTGAAAAGCGAAAAAAGGAAAGGGACATGAAATATTCAGAAGATTAGAATTAGGGAGAACACAAAGAGTGAATCCACCTGCTCCACTGTAAACGATTTCGAGCCATGTCAGGTTAACCCCAATTCTTACTTACTTACTTACGCCTGTTACTCCCAATAGAGCATAGGCCGCTGACCAGCATTCTCCCCAATACCATAATTTTATTTGAAAAATTTATTATTATGTACAGTATCAGAAAATTGGTTAGATAATTTTAACAATAATAATAGTCTTATCTTAATTTTAATAATAGAATAATCAGCCAACAGATGTGAGATAGATATGGAGGTTGTTCCATTGTTGTTTTTTCACGGTCTACATCATTTACTAATCTTAATTAAGCATATGACCTTAATGTAGATTATTAAATTAACACAATTATTTATTTCATAATAAAAAGTTTATATATGTATATAATTTTAGCATTTACAAATGATGTAATATGTAAACTGAAAGTATGATCTATGCTACTTATATCTATCAACATGAGTAGTATGTAACATTAATAGGAAATGGAATGCTTGACAATAATAGATTGGGAAGATCGAAGTAAAGAGAATAAGAATGTAAACAAAAAGTAATTGTAATGAGAGCTGGAATAAAGATAAGATTAAGTTTGTAAGAGACAATTGATGGTTGATGTACAAATGAAGTATTTCAATGTATAATTTTCAATTTTGAATTGAAAAATAAATTGCTTAATCCCATCTAAGTATTAGTTCATTACAGAATTTTTTTCAAAGCTTCAAATTCATTATAATTTGATTAAGTTACTAAGCTTAATTTATTCCATGTTACCATGTACATAGTAGAATTTAAATGGTATTTTTATAGATGATATAAATGTATACAGTTGAACAAGTGAGAAATAAGTAAAAAATACCCGACAATCTGATGTGTACACTTCAGTAATTCTTCTTCTTTTTTTTCATACAATGAAGATGATATATTATCATGGATTTATTTAGACCCACCTCCCTGCACCCATCCCATCCCCACCCCCTTCCAAAAAAAATAACAACAACAACAACAACTAGTTTTGTAACCAGCTTTCATTCGCTATAATTGTCTGTTATCTTTTCAATGAATCAAAATATAATTTTAATATACGAATTATTATTATAGACATTTTATAATTAAATCTTATTTATTTGTAATCATTCATTTATTGGCACTTAGTTCATTCATTCTTTTTTTAAGTTTATCTATATCTATATCTATATCTCTCTATATATGTCTACTTCCAATTCAATTCATCTTACACCATCATCATCATCATCGTATGCTGTAATTTTGTATTAGATTTTGACATTTTAAGTCCATTTCTTTCTTTTTTTTCTATTTATTTATCTCTCACAGTTACTATATAACCCTTATGTAATGTGGAGTTTGTTTTTATATTTCAGTTATAAAATGATCTTAATTAGTTAAATCAAAAAAACATATAAATAGACAATAGGAATGTTATATCAATTAATATGAATCTTAATTAATCATTGAATAGTAACTAGTTTATTGTATTTGTCTAAACTTTTAAGCGATACTTGAATTCTATCTGATAATTTACAATGTATCTTGTAGTGTTTTTGTTTTGAAAATGATAAAGAAGATTCTTGTTTCAGGTGGATACCTTTAGTTATGTTATTGTTCTTTAAAGTTGGTTAATTCATTGCTGTTTTGTATGAATGTTGTAACGTGTGAGACTGCAGGATAGATGCGCAGTGTATTTATCGATCGATTACAGTGGCAGTGGACGACCTAATTTCACGATTGGCCCTACTTCGCTGTCAAGTCACAGCCTCTGAGTTATGAATCATTGTATTTCAGACATACTCTATTTATATACTAAACAAACAAACCACATCATACCATAAAATAGAAAACAACATTTACACAATATTTAACAAGTGAAATAAACATCGACCAATAGGAAATGTACATTTAAGGTCCAAGGCCACCATAGACTTAACACGATAATTATTGGTATATTTTTCCTCAGCATCCATAACAATGAATGGGTTGGTTGGTTAGTTGGATTGACTGAAGTTAAACATTAACACCATTGAATGCCAGCTCAATGGTCTAAAAGTTAAGCGTTTGAGCGCGAAACCTATAGGTCCTGGGTTCAAATTTTGCAAGGCGTGATCGTGGATGCGAACCCCTGAGGAGTCCCATACTAGGATGGTTTACCATGGTGTTCTGGTTTTAATTGACTCATAAATTCAACTATTAAATTGCTAAAAATGATTTGTTTAGTTTATCCATAATTGTTTGGTATTCTGAGTGATTTAATAATGTGTGAACATTAGTTGAATTTTAAGTAATAGAAATTAATCAACAGGAAACTGTAGACCTATACTAATCGGATCTTCAGTCATAAAGAAACATATGTGTATTTTCACTCTTCATCACTTATTAAATGAGAAAATAATAAAAACTGATATTATCGTGGCATTCTGGTGGTATTGCAAAGGAAAAAACTCGAGTATCATTTTCCGATAATACATTATGTAAGATCACGGAGAGCATCAATCCAATCACAAATG